TGTAAACACACACACACACACACACACACACACACACATTTTTCCTTACTCACACTACTAGGACCATATAACATTGGTTCAAGGAAGAGAGCAGAGACTCTAAAGCACTAAATGAAGGAGGAACGCTTTGGGAGAATATTTGCCTCCAGTAGATCTGTGAAAAAGGTCCTGAAAGCAAGAAAAGCTTTGAGTAGGAAAGATGATGCGGCAGAGTTATGAACTTTTTTTTTGGACTTTATTGTATTTAATAACATATATTAGGGATGTAACTGAACATGAATACATTATTCAGATTCAAATACAGATACGAGTAGAAGGATTACTATTAGAAAGCTTGCCAGATATGTTCACAGGGCATCTGGTCGAGATTAGAGATGTGCATCGGGACTGAGATCCCACATGGTGTTTCGGGAAATGTAAAACATCTGGTTTATTCCATGCCCACTTCAGGTATAAATCTGAATACAGATGAGGATATTTGGAGCACTAAACAGATACAGATACAGATACAGGTAGTATAACTACATGGGGTATATGCTATACACAATAGATATATACACAATAGATATATACACAATAGATATATACACAATATATATATATATATATATATATATATATATATATATATATATATATATATATATATATATATATATATATATATATATATATATATATATATATATATATGTGTGTGTGTGTGTGTGTGTGTGTGTGTCTATAGAAAACATGAGGATACAGTGAATAATATAGTGTGTTTGTTATGCCATTTCGAAAACTGGCAAAACTTTCAATGAACTATAAATGGAGTTAATAAATCAACAACATCATTACACTGAGTTATTGAGCCGGACATTCAAGAATGCAAATCTTGCGAAATCTGCTACATTCAGAGGAGTTTACATTTTTTCAAAATGATTTTCTGTAGATTTCATGTGACATCATCACAATAGGCATCCAGTTAGAGGCCTCTTCGATTCGCGTGCGTGGAACATGAGTAGAGCTAAAAGGTCTCATTTACCAACAAACATCACTGTGAAAGACCGTGCTAAACAATTTCATGCGATTGTGATTTCGCCAGTTCAAGTAGTTTTCTGCGAAACAAACACAGAAAGCACTGCAAATTGCATCACAATTTTTTGAAAAAAAAATGCCACAGCTAAAAAAAAACTGTACGAACTGATCGAGTAAACCTCCTCAAGTTGGAGGAAAAAAAATTATCTGTGGTACTTCCTTCTGTGTGGAGTATAAATCAATTATTAAGCCATATTTTTCAGTTTAGCAGCGTATTGTAAGTGCTACAGTAAAGTCTTGCTAATGTCATGGTCAAGAGTAACAACCATGACACCATAGTAAGTTTGTGAAGGGATTATAGTTACTGTAAATATGTGATAAACATAGTTACCATGGTAGGCGATCTATTAAATGTTATATATTTTTACAACCAAATTTAATTATCGTACTTGTTTTTGTTGATTGTTTGATGGGGTTTAGCTGCATGTTCATGTAGGCCTACATTTCTTATTGGCCATGTAATTTAATAAGTGGTTCTACTTAAACTGTGTGTGGAGCTTGAAATATTCTGCAGGAAATGTTCTCTTCAAAATGAGGACAACGTGCCCCCTACTGGCCACAGACAGTAATGCACCCTGGGCCTTTCCCACGTTATCTCTCACTATCACTCAACCAAACACCTCACAGGCAGGTTTTAGTAATAAATCATAAACATTCGAGACACTTTACTTAACAGTAAATGCATCGTATCGCCTTACAAAATGAAAAGCAACATTTTAGGTTTAAAAAGCCTTAGTTAGTAATGTATATCTAACATTGTTTTATTATTACTAGCCTAACAATTCACATAAATACCATAGTAAAACCATAACAATGCAATAGGAGCAGGAGAAAACATATCTACCATAATAGTTTATCAATGTGGTAGAATCATGGTGAAATATGTAATAATCATAGTTACCGTAAAGCACTACATTTTCAGGGGGAAAAAAAAGTGTAATAAACTGTACCACGCCTTGTCGCTGGGGTGGGACTCTTGTGTACAAGTGCATGTGGTGTACCTTGAAAGCTTTACTCGAACAGTATTTACAGTCCGATTATACACCTAAAATCTTCCCAGGTGAAAGGTACATATTAAAGGTAGAAAAGATCACATAATAAATTCATAGTAGTATCATGGATAAAATGAATGTCGATAACAAGGTTTCAGCACTTGATTTCAATTTACATAAAATATCATTGATTATACATGAGGAAATAATCTTCATTGAGCTGCACATCAAATAACCAAATAAGGTGGGTATTTAAATAAAAAAAAACTGGTTATTTATACAGAAGAGACAAGCCAAAGGTCTGCACTCAGCTGGGACCCTCTACAGCCATTTGGTATGCTAACCCTCTCTCTCTCTCACACACACACACACACACACACACACACACACACACACTCACTTGCTCGCTCTTCAAAAGCTTCCTGTGTGATAAGACTGTTTAAAAGCCTCTTTAGACGAGGGTCCTTAGTGTGTGAGGCTGAAAGGATACACCACTCACCCTCCA